CAAAAAACTGTGATGTCATGGATACCAAGCATTCTAAGAAGTTAGGTATGTCAGAGGTACTGACTACTACTCAGTAGTCAAGTAAGATCAAGATAAAAATGTGTTTGGTTTAGTACAAAACTTTGTTGGAGTCACCGCTAACCTTAGTAAAGTTGTTTTAGTTGTGGGAAAGCAAGATACACTATAGTGAATTAAGAGTAAAGGAGAGGTTATGAACAGTGTATGTAACTCTAAGTGATCTGGCCATGAGTGGATGAAGAAGAAATGTAGTTACCTGGAGAGGAAAGCACAGAGGTTGTCTGAAGACTTGTCGAGGAAATATGGAGGGGTTGTCAGAAGGCTGGGAGAGATGTAAGCATGTTTTAAAAAGCTGATGAGAAGGATACAACTGAAAGGAGTAAGTTAAAGATGCAAGAAAGAAAAGAGAGAGTCGATAGTCTCTCTTTTCCTGAAAGGAGGAAGGGAATGAGATTCAGAGCATAACCTGAGAGACTCATCTTATAGAGGAAGACAAAACACTATCAATTGTGCCTCAAGCGAAAGAGAGCAGGCAAACAGGTTTACAGCATGCTCACATCTGAAGCTCCCAATTTCTTTATAAAATTGTGTGGAGTGGATATGGGATTATCGGTTTAATGGAGGAAATAATGATTTGCTTACAGAAATTGGGAATTGACCAATAGTGCTGAAGGCCCAGTGAAATTTGGTAATCATAAAATTTAGAGTGGTACTATTCTTCCCTATTGTACACCTACAGAAAATTTCAGGGCTCACATAAGAGATGATATATTCATAGTAAGGCACTTATAATTTCAGAGAACAGTTTTAACAACAGCTGCCTAAAATAAATGATTACATGATTCTTGTATTTTATCAGTTAACTGAGCCTAGTAATTTTTCCCCATTTGAAAAGGTACACATTTTAATCAAGATGTCATTTAAATGCTATCAAATCCAAGATTTTTAGTACAAGTCAACTATCTCATATGACCACAACTAAAAAATGAATTGATATAAAAGTGTTTTTTTAAATACATAAAAACATAGCTGTATGTAGCTATATTTGTGTGTACAAATGTGGAATCCTTATTAATCTGATTAGATGATCCTAATTGGGCTAGACTCTTTCTTATACTATTACCATGAAGCAAGACTCTGCTAAATACATAGGGGCATTTTTGTTTGTTTAATGGGCTAAACTTTAAGATTTTAGCAAGTCAGTTGTTATATGAGTGCAAGCTAAAGTCTCAATTATTCATGGAAGGTTGGCTTTTTAGGATCTGCTTAGAAATACAAAATGTTCACATTACATTTAAAATATTCTTTAAATTCTACCAATTTAGCATGGTTTTCTTATCAAGGATTTACTGTAAGTTTATACCTAAAGTAATCTTGAACGACCACCAACAAATGCCTTTACCATCTACAAAAAGGCATAAATATGCACAAATAACACGATTTAAACATCAAAAATAATATTTATGTTTCCATGAATAAACAAACTCAAGTACTTATGATTTTTTACAATAGTGGAATATAATCTTAGGCATTAATATGTCAGTGGTCCCTAAACAATTCCCAATATTAGAGAAATGGCAGTAGTTATTTAAAAATTCACTGAATTCAAATTTTCATTACTAAATAGGAAATTTTTAAAAGCGCCCAACCTATAAGCCTACTTATTATAAGCCAAAATGATTTAAAAAGCTAAGACTGGTCACATTCCCCTTAATGCTCAGTTTTCTAAACAACAATCCATTTTTTTTTTACCCTTAGAAAACTCTCCTATATTTATCCAAAGTAAATATAAATCAGGAATAAATGAATAATTGAGACGATTACTTATGTTTACATGAACTTTTTGATCAATTTTAAAGGTGAAAAATCCAGTAATATCTTTTCTAATACAAAATTTTCTTAACAAAAACATTTAAGTAATAACCATAAAAATATCCCCCAGGGAATTTTTCAATATAATTATTGAGTTCAAGTTTAAAGTAATCAATATACATAAAACCTACTTTCTGTCAGATCCTCAATCTTTTCCCACATAGTAACAGCATGAGATCTATATCTTGTACTCAAATCCTGAACTACCAATACTTAGGAATTCAAATTAATATTAAGGGGAAAAGGTGCTCTTTCTGTAACGTCATAGAATCTCAAATCTCATTAAGGCTACTTAGGATACCCAAAGCATCAAATATAAAAACAATGTTCACTGCCCATTAACACTGCAGAAGTATCTAACACTTGTATGATTCTACTGCATAAAATTTGCTTGCTATACTAAAAACACCAAATGACAGACTAGAGTATTGTTACAGTGGTTTAGAGAATCTTACAAAAGATCTTTTTGATTATTGTAATGCAACATTGAATCTTCATGAAAAGCATAGCATCATTACATTTTGGGAAGACTCTGATCTGTAACGTAATACAACAGCGTGGCCTCACCTACATGGTAAAGGCCCATAATGACTAAGCCAGGTAGGCCATGGCTTATCAGATTTTTATTCATTTTATACCATAGTCATTCCCCTCCTCTTTATTGTATACAGTGCTTTTCAGTTTATCAGTATATTACACTTTTAAAAAATAACTGTTCAAGACAAGCTACAATGATTCAGCAACTAAATCTTAAACCCAGGAGCAAGAAATGCAGCTGATATTTTTCTAAAGCAACAAAATTTCACTCAAGAAAATCTTCCTGTATAGTCAAAGAATTAGTTCAATAATTCAATAAAACATATGCTATGAAATTGACCATCTGAAAAATAAATAATCATATGAATCAGTGCCTAAATTCTGTAATTTTGCTGTTATTTTTCAGTAGATGAAAAGCATCCTGATCCACTTAATTTTAACAGGCTCATAATTTACATGACACATTTTAAGAAGATACTATCCTTATAAGCTTTCTTACCTTTAAAAATTTATTTACTATTACCTGCAAACAATAGGTAACAGAGCTTTGCCTCTGCTCTTCGTTCTTTTATACTAATGTATACTCACAGCTTGAATAAAACATTACAATATTTATGAAATGAATCATTGTAATAAGACCACTACTTACAATTTACTATTTTATAGTCTCCCTCTGCAACTTTCTACAAAGCTTTTTTACCCTCTTTGTTTAAAATTTCAGGGTTTTTAGAGGGTGGGGGGGGGGTAGGGAAAATGCATTCTGGAAGGGACAGCAATTAAAAGTATTAGCAAAAATAAAGAGGCTAATCTTTCTTCAATATTGGACAGTATAAGATCCTAACTAATGTTAATTTAAAAAACAAAAGCTAAATCACAGATTTGCAACAGTTCACACCCTGAAAATGTGGCCTAATTACCCTGAAAATATATAATCTATAAATAAATACAGATAAAATACAAAATTCACCTTTAATATTCTGACTTTAAATCCTGAATTTTGCCAAACTATCTCATTATCATTTTCATTTCAAAATCTATCTTGTTTCAGAAAAATAGCCTTCATCCATTGATATTCTAAAAATAGACTCCTACTGTCTTTTTTACAAGAAAGAATATTTCTTGGTTCTGAGTCCTTCCATATCAGCTACATCATCAATACCTAAAATTCTTATTTAATCCCGTCTTTGGCAATCAAAATGGTAACTAAACATACAAAAAAAAATCTTACCTATATGCTGCATTTTCTTTCAAATGCAAAGTGGTTAGATTCCCCTTCTACTTAATCAGTACAGGGTCTGGACATTTTTCAGTCTGACTTGCAAATATTTGCTTTCCCTCTTAGGGCATAGCATCCGCAGGGTTATACAGCACTACTTACATTCTCTTCCACATAAAAATCAGACATTACATGAAAGGAAAAGAAAGACAGCCCATTTCAAAGCATCTGGCAAACCTCCATTGGCAACCTGCCAAGCCTCTGCTAAACCTTCCTGTCTTTCCGAGCATGCTCACTTAAAACCAACAGCATGTTACTATGGCAACTCTGTAGGCAGCCTGTAAGTATGAACCGCCATTCTGATTTCAGAGTGTAAAAAAACCAAATACTGCAGGGGAAGTAAAAGGAAAGAAATAGCGTATGCCCTTCATCACGTACGAGTATACTCATTTCATTTCATAAAGTCGTATTTGTATATTCAAAACAGAAGCATCCCACATTTTTCCAGGCAAATATTTTTCATGCTCAAATAGGTCCCCCTTTTCAGTAAATTCATTGTCTTTGTCTTGCCCCTAAGCCCTTTTACCCCATAACAACCAAAAATATACTAGACAGTTTACCCCATTTGATACAACACTGCAGAATAGACAACAGTATTCATATAAGCAATCATGCAGTATTCCATGGATGATTTCCTACAATTATACGCACATTATAAATGACATGGCAATATTACTAAGAAAACCATTAGCACTTAGAACATACAATCTAAATCTTTTCTATGATTTACCAAATTGCCAAATGAAATTGTCTTTGGGGTTTGGATAGGATTTTTTTTTTTTCCCTAATTATCCTTGAAATATTGTGAAATGTCTGAAAGAGGTTTTAAAGTTGAGACAGGCCAGACCTGGGTGCAAATCCCTATCCTTCCCATTTTAGTTGTGCCACCTTGGGAAAGTTACTTAACTTTTTTGAACCTCCCTTTCCTTACCTTTAAAGTAGGATAACAACAGTTACTTTATACGGTAGTAGTTTAAATGAGTTAACACATATAAAATACCTAAAACTTTTTTTTTCCCTCCTGGGTTGTTTTGGAAAACACCCCGAAAAAACCAGTGTGCACTTGTTGATTAACTAACCTGAAAAGTATTTTCTTGTAACCTCTTACTAAAAATTAGTTCTGATTTACACACTATGCTATGAGCCAAAAACCTTCCTCAACACCCAAATCAAGCAATGCTAGAAATGGAAACAAATAATAGAGAATCTAAACAGAGGGAAAAATATATGAAGGTATTATCTTCACTAGAGAATATTAAGATGTTTTTATTTGTTACAAACATGAAATTACACCTACCACCTCTTCTTCTGTCTTTTTGACCTCCTTTTCCTTTTCTTCATCATTTTCTTCAGCTGGGCCATCTTCATCATCACTACTGGATGACTCAAGGATTTCACTTATATCCATTTTCCAATTATCAGGAACAACTCTAGTTTTTAAGAAGATGCTTGCTTTCTGAAGCCCTAAGAGTGAAAATGTACTTCAGTAGTTGCTTGGAATTAGCAGCATAGAACAAAAGAAAAGGCATGGCATTCAGAATCAGAAGATCTGAATTCAAATTCAGCTGTCATTTATAAAATGATACAGTAAGCTTGAACATATTTCATAAGTTACAATGTTATATAAAATTTGTTATTACTTTACAGAATACTGTGAGACATCTTAATGGTAAAATATGAAAAATTAAACTTATCTAATAATCACACATCAAATATATCTAGACATTAAAAAAAAAATCAAGTAAGATTGGTTATCAACTCTAAACACTTAAAATGGTGGCACCAGAGAGTATCAGTCTTGCTTTATTTGCTATTTTCCATACAGAGCCACAACATAAAATAATAGGGTAATTCATCCTTATTTTACCTGGTTTACTGGAGAGCTCAGATTCCGGTAGATTGAGAATGTCTACTTGCTTAATGTCCTTTCTTGCTATAGAGTAACTAATTATCAAGAAGAAGGGGAGGAAAATAACTTATTCAATACAAATTATTACTTAAATAGTACATGTTGGCATATAGAAAAATAAAAACCTCAAAATCAAAATATTGCCTATAAAATGTTTTTAACTTACTCCTTAATAAAAGGTAAGAAGAGGTAATACAGGCAAAGCTAGTTATCTTAATTCTGAAGTTTTATATATCAAAGTACATTGAGGGCCTCACATTCACAATATTTCAATCTATACATTCCTCCTACAGATAGTACGGGGTAATTTATATCAGCATGATGTTTTCAACACTTGTAGACAACAATGTCTACTTTAATATTTGTGAAATTTATTTTTCATTTTAGTAAAAAAGCACATTTACTAGATAGTAATATTGAAATATTTTTACCACTATAAGATATATTATAGTATTAAATTTTTCACAGAGAACTATAACTCAAAAAAACTTTTTTAATTTCACTTTTTTGATCGCAAAGCAGAGATGAGGTTAGGAAAAAGTTTTTATAAGTCTGGATTTCATTTTTTTTGAGACAGAGTCTCACTCTGTCGCCAGGCTGGAGTGCAGTGGTGCGATCTCAGCTCACTGCAACCTTTGCCTCCCAGGTTCAAGTGATTCCCTTGCCTCAGCCTCCCAAGTAGCTAGGACTACAGGCATGCACCACCATACCCGGCTAATTTTTGATATTTTAGTAGAGACGGGGTTTCACCATGTTGGCCAGGATGGTCTCGATCTCCTGAGCTCATGATCTGCCCGCCTTGGCTGGGCGTCAGCAACCGCGCCCGGCCCAAAAGTCTGGATTTTAATCATGAAAAAAGTCAAAATAATTGCCCTTGTAATGTAGATTAAAAAAATAAGCTTCAGGCCGGGCAAAGTGGCTCACGCTTGTAATCCCAGCACTATGGGAGGCCGAGACAGGCAGATCACAAGGTCAGGAGATCGAGACCATCCTGGTTAACACAGTGAAACCCCATCTCTACTGAAAATACAAAAAATTAGCCAGGCGTGGTGGCGGGCACCTGTAGTCCCAGCAACTCCGGAGACAGAGGCATGAGAATGGCATGAAACCAGGAGGCGGAGCTTGCAGTGAGCCAAGATCGCGCCACTGCACTCCAGCCTGGGCAACAGAGCGAGACTCTGTCTCAAAAAAAAAATAAACAAAATAAAAAATAAAAATAAGCTTCGGAGTTAATAATAAATGTCACATACTACACATGATGAAAACATAGAATTTTACAATTAAGGAAAAAAATAAATACCATGCTTTGCTAAAAAAAAACTTAATATTGTTCTCACATAATGTTGTTCACAGATTTTATACAAAATGTGTTAGTGAAAAATACCCTACATTACAAAAAGTCAAAATGTATTAGGTAACAACTTCTCAGTTCATGAATGATTAGACTATTAAAAATAAAGTTTTGGTGGGGGAGCGCTCTATCATTGTAATTCCATATTTTTTCCTCCCATGTAACATCATTAAAGAATTCATTACTCACAATTTAGAATCAATAAATGATCGAACTAAACACTGATCCTTTTTCACTGTGATGTCATCATTACAGCTGGGAGATATTACCTGAAATATAAAATAAGAACAGATTGATTCCTATTTCCTGTGCTCAGAAAAAGCATATTTTTCAAAAGAACAATTCTGGATCCCCTAACTTCTCAGATAGATCATCTTTTACAAAAAACAGCTTCATTATAAATAGCCCCTATTATTAAGGAATTACATACAAAAAAAGATACCCTTATATATTTTGTTTAGCATATTGGTTGTCTAGAAATTTATTTTATCCATAGTCATTAGATTATAAAATGAATAATTAATGAAATACAGGGCCAAGTTTAGTGACTGATGCATGTAATCCCAGCACTTTGGGAGGTCAAGGTGGACAGATAGCTTGAGCTCAGGAGTTCAAGACCAGCCTGGGTGGCATAGTGAGACACTGTCTCTACCAAAAATACCAAAAATTAGCCTGGTGTGGTGGTGTGTGCCTATAGTCCCCGCTACTCAAAAAGCTGGGATGGTAACATCAGTTCATCCCAGGAGATGGAGGCTGCAGTAAGCCAAGATCACGACACTGCACTCCAGCCTGGGCGACAGAGTGAGACCCCATTTCAAAAAGAAAAGAAATATAAATTAAAATGTGACCAGCACTTTAAAAATATCAGGATTTATTCTAAGCTAAATTATTGTCAAAAACTAAATTGTATAATCTGTGATGAAAATTTGGCATATAATTTTTTAAAATATACTTGAATAAGAATTTTTTGAAATCTGGTCATAAAAAAAAATCTATGTTACCTTTTTTAACCAAGATATGTACAATCGTTAGTAATCAAAACAAGTTAAAACATGAACAAAGAACTTTTAATTTCTTAACTTCTGAAAATAGTATCTTAACAGTATCATTGGTAAATAATCTCTGTATCCTTTATAGAACTTCATATTTTTAAAAAATTGCTTAAATGTATCTGTTCATGCTCTCCCTAACACTAGCCTCTCTCTGCTACATTCCAGCACCATTCACAGACCTTTGTGCACTGATGGAAATGTTCTGTATCTGCACTGCCCTATACAGTGGCAGTGAGTCACATGGTGCTAAACACTTGAAATGTGGCTGGTGCAACTGACAGACTGAGTTTTTAATTCTATTTTATTTTAATTAAGTTACATTTAAACTTAAATGGCCACACATGGTTCATGGTTATCATACTGAACAGTGTATATCCAGATAATTGAATATTCTTGGCAGTCACATCAGCTGTCTTAATACCAGATGGAAGTATTTTTTGTTTGTTTGCTAGGTGCTGGTAATTATTAGACTAATAATATAGCCGTGCCAACCCTCAAGGAGCTAACAGTGTACTGGAGGGGCAAATATAAAAAGATACACAAAAAGAACACAATGGAGGATAAGTACAGTGATACCACTAGCACATAATAATATGAAAACATTGAGGAGGGAGATTTTGCCTAACCTGGGCAAGGAAAAGGTGTGGCAGGAAAAGCTTAAAGTAAATTTTAAAGGATGAATAGGCATAATCCAAGGTCTAATTACCTCACCTATGAACTATTTAATGGCCTTCAAATAGATTCCTGCCACCTCCAGTCTTTCTAGTAACATGCCATTCTTCATTCACATTCCTAAACATGTAGCTCAAATAACATCACTCTTCTGGAAAATTCTCTGCAGAATTATGCCCAAATTCTTTAGGCGAACTTTTAAAGACCCTTCCGCCCTAGAATCAAATTATGTTCACAGGTATATTTTCTGTTATTCTCCGACTCACATCTAATATTTAGCCAAAATGGATTCCCAGAGCAAACAGTTCCGTGAACAAACCCATTCCTTTTTTTTTGAGATGGAGTCTTGCTCTGTTGCCCAGGCTGGAGTGCAGTGGCACGATCTCGGCTCACTGCAAGCTCCGTCTTCCGGGTTCACATCATTCTCCTGCCTTGGCCTCCTGAGTAGCTGGGACTACAGGCGCCCGCCACCATGCCCGGCTAATTTTTTGTGTTTTTAGTAGAGACAGGGTTTCACCGTGTTAGCCAGAATGGTCTCGATCTCCTGACCTTGTGATCTGCCCACCTCGGCCTCCCAAAGTGCTGGGATTACAGGCATGCTATTTTTTTTAACCTATTTTTTTGTTTCCTCTAGTGAAGCTTTGCCTGCTATCTTTAAATCCTTCAAAGCTCAGCTCAAAAGCACCTGCTTTGTGAAGGCTTTCTGTATTTTCCTCAAATAAATGTAATCTCTCAGGCCAGGGAGTCCTAATATTGAACATATACTATTTTATATTACTGTTACTTGGATTATTCTGTACATTATACATAAAATCACCAAATGTAAGAATAGTGTCCTACTCATTTTTTATTTGCAATATCCCCTGGTAAATGATAAATCTGAATAAATAAAAGAATTTATTAAAAAAAAAAAAACTCTTGGCAAACCTAAAATCTGAATATTCTGCATCCAAATTCCAAATTACTTATTTTTCTATACAACTGAAAGGTTCAAGGGACTTTCAGACTTTCCTCATATAAATTAAATCTATTATCTATGAACTGAGTAATATATTTACACGCACACAGAAACCTAAAAATATACTTTCAGCTCTTTACAGGATTATAATCTAATTTGAGATACATTTTGTGCCACAATTATTATTAGAGATAAGTGATACCAAAATTCAAAGGGGCATACTTATGTTAAGAGTATTTAGGGCCAGGCGCAATGGCTCACACCTGTTGATTCCAGCACCTCGGAAGGCCAAGGTCATCGTTTGAGCCCAGGAGTTCGAGACCAGCCTGGACAACATGGCGAAACCACGTCTCCACAAAAAAATACAAAAATTAGCCAGGTGCGCTGACGTACACCTGTGGTCCCAAGCTACTCAGCAGGCTGAGGTGGGAGGATCACCTGAGCCCAGGGAGGTGAAGGCTGCAGTGAGCTGTGATCACACCACTGCACTCCAGTCTGGGCGACAAAGACCCTCTCTCAAAAACAAAACAAAAGAAGAGTATTTAAGAGAGACCCTGCAAAGAAGGTAGGACTTGAGTTGAACTTTAAGAGATATTTAAGAGGGGATGAGGAAGTGGAGGAAGAAGTAAAGGAGTAGGAAGAGAAGAAAAAAGACATTAATTTCCAATTATTTTTTACTCCTCTCCGAAATAATTCTCTTGTGTATCTCTTCTTCTTACTCCTTCTCTGTGTAAGCAAAAATTAGCTTTCTCTACCAACCCACCTAAAAGTTGTCATTTCCAAAATCTTCCTTAAAATGTAGGTGAATCCCTCCTTTCATCCTTTCTTACTCCACACTGTACCAAATTTTTTTTATTTACTATACAATCTTTAATAACTATGTAATCTCTTACATGTCTACAGTAAGCTTCTTGAAGGCAATACATTTAAGCCTCTTCTAAAGAACTTTGAACAAAGCTGCACTCACTGTAAATCCTCAGTAAATGCTAATTAATTTAAGGCAGGGATAAAGGCTTAGAGGAGTGATGTATCCTACATATGGGGCAGTTAAACAACTTGAGTATAGTTTACACTAAAAATAGGAAATAAACTGAGAGCCAGGGATGGCCTCAAACATCCATTTAAAAAAATGCAAAACTGATCAACTAGGCAGACTCACTGAAGGTTTTCTATTTCTGAGAATGGGACGATCATGACTAAATTTATATTGTAAAAAGATTTCTCAGCCAGGCATACTGGCTCATACCTGTAATCCCAGCCCCTTGGGAGGCCAAAGTGAGAAGACTGCTTGAGCCCAGGAGTTTGAGACTGGCCTGGGAAACATCGGGAGGCTACATCTCTACAAAAAATAAAAAATAGCCAGGTGTGGAGGCGCATGCCTGTAGTTGTAGCTGCTTGGGAGGCTGAAACAGGAGGAATGCCTGAGCCCAAGAGGCTGAAGCTGCAGTGAGCTGTGCTCACATCACTGCACTCCAGCATTGGCAACAGAGTGAGACCCTGTCTCAACAGAAAGAAAAAAAATTTCTCTATAAAAGTTAGTGCTGGAAAATTAGTCTGAATTAATAGAAAAGAAAGAATTCAAGAATCAAGTTAAGGGAACCCATGGCAATGGGAATAGAGTAAAAAGCCATTGGACATATTATGAGGGAAGAAATACAAAAGAGCTCAATAAAAGGCTATATAGAATTAAAAAAAGAATAACTAAAGAAGACAGTGAAGTATTCTGGACCTGACTATGATTATTCAATTAAAAAAATCTCCAATAAAGTCCAAATTTGTTTAATATTTTCAAAATATTTTAAATGCTTTTTAAAAATCCATTTTAAACAAATATTTAGATGGCTGATTAACTTTGCAAAGAAACTTTACCTACCAAAGCAGGGTACCATTCAGTCCTCTCAGTTGCAGACACCACACTTACAACTTTTCCTAGTAATTCATCATTGAGACGGCGCTTGTCTTCATCTTCCTCTTCACTACTTTCTTCTTCCTTTTCATCTTCGGTACTAAAAGTTAGAATAACTTGATCATTATCCTAACACAAATAATTATTTGATACAGAGTATTGTGAATTTAATATAGTCAATTCAATTCCTAATAGATTACCCTGAAGTAGTAGCCTCTTCATTCTTATTATAATTGAAGACATGGGTCCTTCCTTAGCCTCACAGAAGTATGTAGTCCTGAGCTGTCTATGGTAACTCTGAGTCCACTTCACTAGATCAATGAGTGCTTAGGCTTAGGCGCTCATGCCAACACCAGCTGGGACAGAAAAACCTAATTACAACACCATTAAATACTTATTATGCCAAATACTTTTTTTTTTTTTAAGATTGCCTTTCTATTTTTATGCCAGATAACATAACTTCAATTTTCTAACTGGCTACGAAAATATCTGGCTATGAAAACACCCATAAGGGTTTACTTAAGGTAACTTATCTGGGTAACTAAAGTTTACCCTTAAGTGTCAACAAATTTTAAGCATACATATTTATATATATGTGTGTGTATATATGTGTATATATATACACACACATACATATATGTGTATATATATGTACATACGTGTGTGTGTGTGTGTGTGTGTGTGTATTTGGAAATGGAGTCTCGCTTTGTCACCCAGGCTGGAGTGCAGTGTTACTATCTCAGCTTACTGCAACCTCTGCCTCCCAGGGTTCAAGCGATTCTCCTGCCTCAGCCTCCCGAGTAGCTGGGATTATAGGCATGTGCCACCACGCCCAGCTAATTTTTGTATTTTTAGAAGAGACAGGGTTTCACCATGTTGGCCAGGCTGGTCTTGAACTCCTGACCTCGTGATCCACCCACCTTGGCCTCTCAAAGTGCTGGAACTACAGGTGTGAGGCACCGTGCCCAGCCAAGCCTACACTTTTAAAATAAAAATAACTATGTATTCCCCATTTGAGCTCCTAATGAATGTATATTGAATTTGACATCTTCTTGAAGACATCCTGCAATATATTGATAATGTTGGAGTTTACTAAAGTACACAGAGCTATTAACTCTTATTAATTCTTAAATGGCTCAAAACCACTTAGTTCATTATATTTTTATGGTTTTAGTCCTTCTTTTCTCTCATAGACTTCTCAGCTGTGAGACTCCACAGTTTTCTTTATTGACTGCATCTGCTAATTTTTCCTGTATTTCCTTTTGACACATCTTCCAATCGGCTGCACTCTGAGAAACCTGTTAACTCAACTTGTTAAAATTATAAAATAAGTATAAGGGAGTTTTCAGTAGAAGTCTATGGAGGTAGTTCATAAATAAAATACTGGGTATTGAATTATTAAATATATATCATGTCCTGAGTACTTATTACACACTGATAAATTTATATACATTATCGGCTGGGCGCAGTGGTTCATGCCTGTAATCCCAGCACTTTGGGAGGCCAAAGCAGGTGGATCCCTTGAGGTCAGGAGTTGGAGACCAGCCTGGCGAATATGATAAAACCCCATCTCTACTAAAATACAAAAATTAGCCAGGTGTGGTATCACACACCTGTAGTCCTGGCTACTCGGGAGGCTGAGGCACGAGAATCCCTTGAACCTGGGAGGCAGAGGTTGCAATGAGCTGAGATCACATCACTACACTCCAGTCTGGGTGACAAAGTGAGACTCTGGCTCAAAAAAAACAAAAAACAAAAACAACAACAACAAAAAAGAAAATTGTATACATTATCTAATACAAAAACCAGCAAGCCATTACCATTCCCATTTTCCTCAGCTATAAATTGAGAATATCTTGCAGGTTTTGTGAAGATTTGAGTTATTATACATAAATGCAGTTAACTATAAAGAGGTTAAGTAATTTTCCCGAAGTGATATATCTAGTATATGGCTGAGTTGGGATTTCCATTTAGGGTCCTCAGAGGTCTTTTATTACTTTCTGGTTTGCAGCTTAGGTGTTATTTGACTTTGCCTTTAAAAATACTCATTATATACTCCCCAGGAGCAGTGAGTACATATCTAATACTGGGATCTTGGTTTCTAAATCTTATTTCCCACTAAAATAAATGAGGGACCCTTGTAGAAATGGCCAATTCCAGGGTGGGCGCAGGAAAAAATTAACATGAGCCTAGGATACCTTGTCATGCCAGAAGGTGAAAAAGTGCTCAAGAAATGGTGAGGCCTTATCAAAAGAACACAGAAGCCATCCTGGAAAGGCTCCCTTGGCTAAATCTGGAACAACCTGAATTATAACCCATTAAGTAAAATTAGAATCCATAGCATTAGGAAAAGAATTTCATTGTAGCTAAATGGTAACTAAAAAATGTAGCAAGAATGAAAAATTAGAAAAATCAGCATTTTGCTATCATAATAGTACTAACTGATTCAGGCAAGAATTATTAGTAGATAAAACTTGAAAATGGAAGTTTGACAGAGAATAGAATATTTAAGTAGTCTCAAAGTATCTCCACGCAGATTTACAAATTACAAAGGGGAAAAATGGTAACTATAGTAATTCTGAAGTTGAGAAATTTGGCAGACACCACTCCAACCAGGTGATCAAAGGTAGTATCACCAGATATGGGACAAACTGATAATATTTCTTGCTGGGCTTTCCTTCAGGACACAACATCACTTATGGAGTATAATGTATAACCTGAATCTAACAATGAGAAAACAATCTGACAAACGTATATAAGGGAAAAGATTACAAGACTATTGTCATGTATTCTTCAAAAATGTCAATGTCAGGGGGAAAAAACGGCTGCACAATTTTTTTCAGATTAAAGGAGACTCAAGAACCATATAAACTAAATGCAATGCATGATCTTGAATTGGATCCTGGAATCAGGGGAACTGGGGGATGCTATAAAGGCTTTTATTGGAATAACTGGCAAAGTTTGAAATATTAACCATATGATAGTAGTCCATCAATGTTAAATTTTCTAAATTTGGTATTCATACTTTGGTTACGTAAAAGCATCTCCTTGTTCTTAAATATTTAATGATAAAGGATCATGATGCTTGCCACTTCCTCTCAAATAGTTCAGCAAAATAAAATTATTATTACAAAATATAAAAATAATTAGTATAGGCTGGGAGTGGCCCAACACTTTGGGAGGCCAAGACGGGCAGATCACGAGGCCCAGAGATCAAAATCATCCTGGCCAACAGGTGAAACCCTGGCTCTACTAAAAATACAAAAATTAGCTGGGCGTGGTGGCATGCACCTGTAGTTCCAGCTACTCGGAAGGTTGAGGCAGGAGAATCACCTGAACCCGGGAGGCAGAGGCTGCAATAAGCTGAGATTGCGCCACTGCACTCCAGCCTGGCGACAGAGTGAGACTCCATCTCAAAAAAAAAAAAGAAAAGAAAAAAATTTGTATATATAGAGAGAAGGAATCATAAAGCAAATGTGTGAAAAATGTTAAGAACTAGTAAATCTAGATAAAGCGTACATAGACATTAGGCCAGGCGCAGTGGCTCACACCTATAATCCCAGCCAGCACTTTGGGAGGCCAAGGAGGGCGAATCACTTGAGGTCAGCAGTTTGAAACCCATTTGGCCGACATAGTGAAACCCCGTCTCTACTAAAAATACAAAAACTAGCCAGGCGTGGTGGCGCATCTGTAATCCCAACTACTCAGGAGACTGAGGCAGGAGAATCACTTGAACCTGGGAGGCAAAGGCTGCAGTGAGCCAAGATCATGCCACTGCACTCCAGCCTTGGTGGCACAGTGAAACTCCGTCTCACAAAAAAAAAAAAAAAAACATAAAAACGGAAAAAAAAAAAGTATATAGACATTCACACAGACATTCATGTATTATTCTTGCAATCTTTAAGTTTGAAATGTTTTTGAAGTAAAAGATAAAAAACATATACTCACTTAAAATAGAAAAATCATCATATCAGTTAAAAATTTTGGGCCGGGTGCAGTGGCTCAGGCTGGGCGTGATGGCTCATGCCTGTAATCCCAGCACTTTGGGAGGCTGAAGCAGGTGGATGACGAGGTCAGGAGTTCGAGACCAGCCTGGCCAACATGGTGAAACTCAGTCTCTACTAAAAATACAAAAAGTGGCTGGGTGTGGTGGCATGTGCCTGTAGTCCCAGCTGCTCAGGAGGCTGAGGCAGGAGACTTGCTTGAACTCGGGAGGCAGAGGTTGCAGTTAGCCAAGGCCGCAGTGAGCCGAGATTGCACCACTGCACTCCAGCCTGGGCGACAGAGCGAGACTCCATCTCAAAAAACAAAATCCAAAACAAAACAAAAAAAACTTTGGCAAAGTAACTTAAAAATAATCTTTTTACAATAAGAGTTGTTATCATTCCTGGCAAATCATGGGAATAATCAAGAACAAGGTCCACTCAGCATAAAATGTCTAACATAAGGATACAATATGCTATGGAAAGCTTACCCAAATGAATTTAGCCATCCTAAGAAAATCACTTGTTTAATGTTCTAATTATTGTAATTAAAATGATACCATATACGAAAAAACTCACACAGGAAGAGAAGACCTCCTTCCCCTGTTTGTCTTCTTTGCAATTACTGGAGTTCCAAAATGCTCTGGATTTGTTAATGGAAGCTGGTCAAGTGTCTGTATAAGAAACAGATTAATTAAATCACGTTTTACCTCTAGATCAGTACCTGTAGTTCAATCCAAATAGTCCATCCATGTCACCCTACCTCACTCTCTGCAAAATGTCTCTCTCCTTTCAGACAAAGCGAGGTACGTCTCAATGTTCGCTCGTCACCATCATCAAACACTATAATAAGCACAAGATACCAGAGAATTTATGCACACTAATGAAATAAAAACTTAAAAGCACAGAATGCTATTATTGCTATTAATTAGAGCTTAATATTTGTAAGAACCATTATTTTAGTCATTTTTCAAAACCTTTACAATGAGCATACCATGCCATATTTTTCATTCTATAGATACCAAAAACACAGGTTAAATGGCTGCCCATAACTGCTTAAGTATCTCCATCGGCTTTTTTGATAGAACTATCACTACAGAACCACCTTCTTAACTCATTAGCAACCTAGTCAAAGCATAAATATTAAATTAACTGCAATTCTAGGAGAATGAACAAAAACCTGATTTTAAAAAAAGTATGGATTTTTCCACAAAAGTTTAATATTAGAGTATCCCTAACTTCCAGAAACTGACTCCTGGTATTGCTACTGAATTATTCTACTGCTTCTATTTATTTGCATGATAACCTGCTACACATGTACTGGCTGCCAAATTCTAAAGTCATAAGATACAAGTTCTTTCTTTTGTTAGAAAAGGATATAAGTAGTTTGTTTAAAAAAATTTAAAAAAAAAAAGACAGGATTTTGCTATTTTACCCAGGTTGGTCTCAAACTCCTGGCCTCAAATGATCCTCCCGCCTAGGCCTCCAAAAGTGCTCAGATTACAGGCATCAGCCACTGTACCCAGCTGAGTAGTTTAGCAATAAAGGTTGAAATAAGGAAACAGAAAGATAAAGTTTTTAGTGCAGGCATGGTGGCTCACCATGGGACCTGTGGTCCCCTCTACTGGAGAGGACATGGTGGAACTATTGCTTGAGCAGGGAGAAACCAAGGCTCAACCACGGTTAGTGAGCCATGATTATGCCACTGGGTGACAGCAAAACCAGATTCTGTCTCAAAAAAAATAAAAACATACAAATATAAAAGGTTTTTTTAAAAAGAAACTTTAGACCAGGTGCGGTGGCTCATGCCTGTAATCCCAGCACTTTGGGAGGCTGAGGTGGGCAGATCACCAGGTCAGGACATGGAGACCATCCTGGATAAGACGGTGAAACCCCGTCTCTACTAAAAATACAAAAAATTAGCCTGGTGTGGTGGCGGGCGCCTGTAGGCCCAGCTACTCGGGAGGCTGAGGCAGGAGAATGGCGTGAACTCAGGAGGCAGAGCTTGCAATGAGCCGAGATTGCGCCACTGCACTCCAGCCTGGGCGACAGAGCAAGACTCTGTCTCAAAAAAGAAAGAAAGAAAGAAACTTAAAAAAAAAAAATCATAATTACATAGAAGCTTTCTCAAATATTTTACTTTTACTACCTTTTTTTTTTTTTTTTGAGCCAGAGTCTCACTGTGTCGCCCAGGCGGGAGTGCAACGATGTGATCTCAGCTCACTGCAAGCTCGGCCTTCCGGGTTCACGCCATTCTCCTCCCTCAGACTCCTGAGTAGCTGGGACTACAGGCGCCAGGCACCACGCCCGGCTAACATTTTTGTATTTTTAGTAGAGACCGGGTTTCACCGTGTTGGCCAGGATGGTCTTGATCTCCCGACCTTGTGATCCACCCGCCTCAGCCTCCCAAAGTGCTGGGATTAGAGGCATGAGCCACCGCGCCAGGCCTTTACTACATATTTTAAAAAACCACACTACTTGGCCGGGCATGGTGCCTCACGCCTGTAATCTCAGCACTTTAGGAGGCGGAGGCGGGCGGACCCCCTGAGGTCGGGAGTTGGAGACCTGCCTGACCAACATGGAGAAACCCTGTCTCTATTAAAAATTCAAAATTTGCCGGGTGTAGTGGCACGCGTCTGTAATCTCAGCTACTCCGGAGGCTGAGGCAGGAGAATCGCTTGAACCCGGCAGGCAGCGGTTGCAGTGAGCCTAGATCGCACCATTGCACTCCAGCCTGGAGAACAAGAGCAAAACGTCGTCTAAAAAACAAACACAAAACAATCGTACTACTTGACTATGTTTAAATATTTCAAGGAAATGGGATAAGGAATTTTATAATTTATCCCTAATAGTCTCCTAATCACTAACAATATATTATTTTGATAATTGTATAGGTTTAACTTTTGTGACTGTATTCTGATTTTAGCATTCAACATTTATAAAGTTAAGAATATGCTCTCAGAAGGTAACTCATTGCCCCAGGTTATGAAGAAATAAGATATAATCTTTACTTCAAATACTTAACATCCATATTCATTCAAGAAGAAAGCATATATATGTACCCAAAAACAATTATTAAGATCTAGTACTAAATTTCGCAATTCTAGATACTTTTCCATTCTAACAAAATAAGTTAGTGCTAATAAAAAGAAATTCTACATTACATTCATTTGGTATCTTAGAATCTTTTCATTGGTTACCTATGAAATTATAATCCTGAATTACTTTCTTAAAAGGTTGTTTTATTAGCAAACACTTTGCCTTCAAATCCTACAATTACCTTTAATGAGTAAGTTTTTTAAAAGAAAATTATATAAAAGCTTTCAACATGTTAAATATTTATCTACTTCAATCAGTTCTCCCTCTTAGACTACAGATACCTACACTTAGATTCTCTTACATGCAGGAGACAATGTGAAAAAAATTAAAAACTCCTGAAGCACAAACTCAAAGAACCACAATTCTAAAAAAGCAGCTGTGCTATACACAATGATCCAGAAATTAATGACTAGCTGCAGGCACAATGACAAGTTAAAACACAACATCCTCCAATGATTACATCACTAATCTGCACTTGAGTAATAGGGTGCTAAATATTTGATATAAAAATTATGATTCATATAGTGTCAAGTCTAACAAATTAACCACTGTTCTCTTAAAATTTTTAAATCATGAAATTATCACAAACCGAACTTAATTCTTGTTAGTATTAGTATCTCTAAGTATAATATTTCAAAAAGAATAAAACCTGAAAGATTTTCAACTTTTCTAATGCCTACGATACCAAAGATGAAGATACCAGACCCACACACACTTCAATGGAGGTATGAAGAAGGAAAATGTGAATGTAAGACCAACACTCCAAATTTATATAACAAAATATTTTCCATAGCGTTTTATCATTAATCAATGGCAGCCCTAAACCAAAATGTTCTGATGAAAAATTTGAACAATTTCAGCATTTCAAACAAAATTTTTCAGCAATTTCTGTATTTCAACAATTTAAAAATTTCAATAATCACTTTGAAATAAAATCAGATTTTTGGAAGGAAAAATTCATTTCACTTAAATACACCTTATCATGGATAGAAATATTTTTTTAAAAAAATTAAAAAAGGGATTTCTCAAAAGGGGATTATGATACAAACAACTATTTTACAGTTTTACATAGGAACCCTCCCAACTTAAAGTGAACAAAAAGAAATAGTGTAAGATTTATTTATTTATTTAGAGACAGAGTCTCACTCTGTTGCCCAGGCTGGAGTGTAGTGGCGTGATCTTGGCTCACCGTAACCTCCACCTCCCAGGTTCAAGTGATTCTCGTGCCTCAGCCTCCCAAGTAGCTTGGATTACAGGTGCACATCACCAGGCCCGGCTAACTTCTGGATTTTTAGTAAAGACAGGGTTTCACCATGTTGACCGAGGTCTTGAACTCCTGGCCTCAAGTGTTCCGCCCACCTTGGCCTTCCAAAGTGCTGGTGCAGTATAAGCCACTGCACCCAGACTAAGATTTTTTAATTCACAAAATTATACAAATATATGTTTTTGAGTACTTTATAAATTTGTTAAATAATGTAATTTTTCAAGATTTTCTGAAACACAAACAGAAAACTCAACAATAGGGGGGTGTGATGGCTCACACTTGTAATTCTGGTGCTTTGGGAGGTCAAGGCAGGAGAATCCCTTGAGTCCAGGAGTTGGAGACCAGCCTGGCTAACACAGTGAGATTCCGTCTTTACAAAAAAAAAAATTAAAAATTAGCTGGGTGTGGTGGCATGTGTGTGCAGTTCTAACTACTCGAGTGGCTGAGATCACTTGATTCCAAGAGTTCAGGAATGCAGGGAGCTATGATTGCCACTGCAGTCCAGCCTGGGCAACAAAGTGAGACCCTGTTTCTATATTCCTATATTTTTTATAAAACAAACATTATGAACTTATTAATCATGACATCCCTGATTATCAAAACCATGAAGAAGCTCTATCTAAAATAAACTTCCTCTCCTAACTTGCATGTTAGAATTATCATCTAAAAGAACACAACATTTGTAGGCACTGAAGAGTATCATTTTTCTAAGAGTGAAATAATTAATGTTGTATATAGCAAGCCTAGCTTCTTTTTAGTTGTCTTCTACAGCATGCTAAGATGAAAAAAAGTCAGACTACAAGGATTTAATAATTCTATGAAATGTCTTATATTTGCCAAAAATGGCTTTTGAATAGATTGTTCATTGTCTAGCAGACCACGCATATAACCAAAAGTGGTATCTCTGTTATTATGTTAGGTATTTTGACAGTTAATTTTAGATGTGAACTTGACTGAATTAAGAATACCTAGAGAAGTGGTAAAGCAATTACTTCTGGGTGTGCCAGAGGAAACTGGCACGTATGTCAGTGAACCAAATGGGAAGATTCACTCTCGATGTGGGCAAGTACCATCCAATTGGCCGGGGGCCCAGACAGAACAAAAAATGAGACAAAGGGATTTCCTCTCTCCTGGAGCTGGGATACTCTTCTCCTCCTGCCCTTGGACATCAGAACTCCAAGCTCTTTGGCTTTGGGACTCTGCACCTTACACCAGCAGTCCCTCAGATTCTCAAGGCTTTGGCCTGGGATTGAGAATTATATCCTCAGCTTCCCTGGTTCTAAGGCTTTCTGATTTGGATGGAGCCTAGCTATTGGCATCTCAGTTCTCCAGCTTACAGACAGCCTGTCATGGTCATTCTCAGCCTTCATAATATCATGAGCAAATTTCTCTAACACTGGGGTATGCGACCCCCAGGCCACAAACCCATACCAGACCATGGCCTATTGGTAACCAGACCGCACAGCAGGTGAGTGGTGCG